AAAGTGGGAAGTGGGCAGCGAAAGCAGAGTGAGGGTGCTGCCCGGACGGCAGGGGCAGGGCGAAGAGATGGTGACAGAAGAGAAGGCCCTCATCTGGGCTGGAGGGCACCTGCTCCAGGGATCTCTGTCACCCTTGGGCCACAGCCTCGGGCTCCACCCTGGCAGGGCTGGCCTGGACTCCAAGGCAGACCAAGCCCTTGCCACCGCAGCTGGCTCATTGCCAGCTCGGGCTGTGTGAGCAGCTCTCTAGGGCCCCTCTGTGACCAGGAGCTGCGTCCTTCCCTGCTCTGGCTGCATCGCTGGCCCCCTCCTGCTGGCCCCCAAACCTACAAGAAAGAATAACCTGGATTAGAACCCAAGCCCCCAAAGGCAGAGGCAGTCCGCTTTTTGGAGGCTGGGGCCTGGCTGGGGTCCTTGGCCTTGTCTCTCTGTGCCTCGGTTTCCTCAGGTCAAAGGCTCCTTGTCCTTGTTCCTAGTACAGTTATGGGGGAGCTACCAGTTCTCATTATTCAAGGGTCTTGTGACGATGTCTTCCTTGCAAGCATGGAAGGCTGGCTCCCAAATTGTAATCTGTCAGCTGGAAACTTTGGTGACAGTAGCGCTTCAAAAGGCTGCATGACTCGGCTTGGTAGGGCCCCACTCCAGTCTCCCTCCCAGCTGCCAAGTGGCTCTGGGAGCCCACCCTGCCTAGCACCCTCCTGAGGCCCAGGCCCCGAGGGCCCGCCCACAGCACCAGCTTTGCTGCTGGCTCCTGCCCTGGAGGGTGCTTCCTGCCACATGCAGCTCTGGGTTCAGGCCCCGGCTTCACTACCGCTGCTGCGGGGCTCTGGCCAAGTCACTGCCCTGGGCCTTAGCTCCCTCCAGCCTCCACCTACCTCAGTCACTGTGAGGGATGGACTAGGGCTTCGGTGCCCAGAGCGAGGCCTGCAGAGAGGCTCCCAGACCAGCCCGGGGGTGGGGGGAGGGGTGGAAAGCTCCAGCAGTGGGAGGAGAGGTACAGATGGTGTCAGGCCTCCGGCTGGGTGCAAGGAGCCACCAGGGGCCCAGGCTGGGCCTTGCAGTGTTGGGAGGAGGAGCAGGAGGCAGCAGGGGGAGGTGGCCAGACAAGGAACTCCTTGCTGCCATCAAGGGGGCAGACCCCGGAGGATCAGACGAGAAAAAGTCCTTCAAAGAGGACTAAGCTGGGATCAGGAGTCAGATTGAGCCCCCACCTGGGTCCAACTTCATGGCCTGCTTCCTGTATCCTTTCCTGTGATGACATGGCCTAACTCAAGAGGCACATTCCTGGAGGGGGATGGAGAGATACGGCCAGAAAGCCAGGTGGGCCCCTCACAGAGACCTTCATCAGAGCCATTGGCAGAAGTGGCGGGTGTGGAGTCCCACAGCAGAGGAAGGGCTCCCTACAGGCCCTCTGCACCCCCAATCTCCTGACCTGCCCCTACACCCTTGGTGGCTCCCCTCTCTCCTGGCCCCATTCAGCCCTCTCTCTCCTCACTTTCCACCACTCTCCCCCTCTTCCCTCTCGCCTCCCTTTGCCAGTCCAGCCAATGGGTGTGGGTGTCTGGCTCTCTCGCAGTAAAAGGATTATCTCATCTGTAATGTATATCCAGACCTGCACACTGCTTCTTGGGAGGACAAGACAAGGAGAGGGAGCCCGTGCAGCTGGCTGGAGGGGGTTTATAACCAGGTTATTGAACCTGAACCTGAGCCCTCCCGGAATGGGGGTGTTAATGGCTCCCGAGGTCCTGGCCCCTCGGAAATCAATGGCTGCTGTGCTGCACAGCTTGGCCCCCCACACACACCACTCCTGGCTCCGCCTAGCTCTTACCCTCACTCATTCACCTGGGTTGCAAGTGGTGATCTGAGAGTCACCCCAGGGCCATTTGGTTAAAAACGCCAGGCCAGCTGTGGTTCTGCTGGGAGCTGCCGCAGGCAGGCAGGATGCTCCGGAATAAGGTCTAGCATGTGCCCCTGAAGGCATGGCAACTGGTAGGGAGACGCGTCTAGAAGATGCTGGCTAAAGCGCCTCAGATGGGGGAAGGGTGGAATGAAGCCTGTTACCCAGTGGCGGCCTGGGGGGAGGTTGTCATGTGAGCAAATGGCTTCAGTGGCAGACGCTGCTCTGTGGGACCTGATGGTTGCCCAGAAATGAAACCTCGCTTGTGTGTGCACCCCAGTGCCTGAGCCCCGGGTGGGAGCAGGGGGTCCACACAAGGGCCAAGTGGAATGGGCCTCTCCTCAAAGCCACGATTGTCTGGAAAGTGACCCGGAACCAGGACCTGAACAAGGTGTCCCTTCACTAGTACAGCCGTCTTCAGCCAAAGGCCCACCATGGTACACCCGGCCCAGCTTTCCACCCATGCAGTTCCCTCCGAGCCACAGGGGGGTGGGGGGTGGCTGGCGGGAGAGGGGGCAGGGCTGCAGAGGTGAGGGTGAGGGCTGGAACCACCCAGTCTTCCCCACTGAGATTTCTGTTAGGAGCAGACAGTATCGGAGCACATGGGCTTGGCTGCTTCGGAGAGACGGAGGTCCAGCTGTGCCTTCAGAACTACCTCAGATTCCAACACGGATGGCCTCTCACTCAAGTCCTCTTAGAGAAAGTTTTCCATTTTATTCCTCAACAGGGCCCAGGCCAGGCCTTGTTCACCAAGACACGTCCCTAGGGTTAAGGAGGGAGGCCCCATTTCCTCGGGCGGAGCAGTCCTGTGCCTTTAGAGCTTCTAGGACTGGCCTGGCTGCTCGTGGTGGCTTTCTTCTCTTCCGGTGCTGGGTGGGTCTCATTGCCTGGGGAGCAGAGGCGCTGTGGGAGGGCTGGGGTAGGAGCTTTGCAGGGATGCGGGGCAGCATCATTCAATCCAAATGTTCCTCCTCCAGCCGTTCAGCCTTGAGTCACTAAAGCACAGGGTGGGGGGAGTGGTTGGTTATCCAACCTTTCCAGAAACTCCTCTGTGAGTCAGCTCACCAAGTCTTTGCAGGGGGCCAACTGAGTGCCCAGGGTCCTGGGCATGGCTGCCATATGTCTTCCCCAAAAGGGAGGATCACTGGCGGGGGGCGGGCAGCCCCATCTTTTGTGGTCTCCGTGTATTTTCACATTTTGACAGATAAAATGGTCCTACTGCTGAATGGTACAGCTGTGAGCACATGTTGATTTCTTAGCAAAGCCCCCTGACTTCAGGACAGCTGGCAGTGTGGATGGTCAGGGAAGCACGGGGTCAAGCAGCAAGACCCAAAGTTTCATTTGCTCACCTATGTGGTGTCGTTTGGGCAGTTCAACTCCAGACTGCACCCTGGAGCCTGGATGCTTAAGGGGAGGTGAAAGGTCAGGCCAGCCCAGGGCACCTTGGGCGCACCTGTCAGATGCACCCGCCGTGGGGTCCAGCCCAGAAAAGCCCAGGGGCCAAAGCAGGGAAAGAGTCGTCAAGGTAGGCATCTGCTGAGGCTGGAAGAGGCAAAGGGCAGGGTGGACATGCCAGGCTGGTGGCAGCAGGGCCCCGCCCTGGCTCCCACACCCGGATAGAAAGCACAGCAAAGCTAGGAGGGCCCTTGGAGGTGACGAGGTCTGCCCGTCGCCCCCAACTTACGGATGAGGAAACAAAGCTGCCCCTCTCCTCTCTTTTCCAGGGGTGATGACTTAGGGGAATTCCAGGCTGCCGCAGACACTAGCCAGGTGGCCAGGCCTTCCTTGGCTGCCTCCTCACGTGTGCGGCATCCCAGCTCTACCGACCTCCCTCTCCATGTTGTCCCAGCCTTGAGCCCAGTCAGGCTCTGTCCCTACATTGCTGCGTGATCACCGGGAAACAACCACCTCAGTTTCCCTAGCTATAGCACAGGAACATCTCCTCCGAGTCCCAGACTGGACAAAATGAGGCCCCTGATGGTGATGCTTGTGGTCTTCGGTGCAAACTGGGCCCGGTGACAACAGCCCCCCCTCCCAGCCCCACCCCCAACGGCCTGTCTCCACCCCTTCCAGGCACTGAGACCCAAATACTATTACTATTAGCCAGAATCTGATACGTTGAGAAGGGAGAAGACCGTGCAGGGGAACCTGGTGGTTGGGAGCACTGGTGGTGCTGTCATCTGGTCCTTATGTCCTCACCCCTGCGGCAGCAGGAGATGACTCTGGGGGCCAAGCTGTTCCCGGTCCTAGATGGGTCCTCTTGAGGGAAGCAAGGGTGCCAGCTAGACTCTTCGGAGCAAACCTCTCCCCTCCCAGGCTCAGCCTAGGTCAGGGCCTCCCCCTCCACGCCCGCGCCCCAAGCTGTTGAGGGCGGAGGGCAGCAGGAAGCATCCCAGAGAG